CTGTTATAACAAGATATAATGAATAGACATACCAAGTTGTGAAAAAAGTTTAAGCACTCTTCATATGTTCAATGTGATTGGTTACTCTTAACCTGTGTTAGGATCAGCTTGAACAGTTGTTGTAACCAGTCTCTCTTTATGTTTGTATTAAACATGCTCCATTGACTAGTCACATGACTTACTGTTAGATTATCACTTATACACCTGGATACATTAGGCAAAAATCTCTAAGAAAGGTTATATAAATCTCTTAGTGAATACTATACATGATCTGACAAGAATAGTATTACAAATATAGACATACCAAAAAAATTGTTGGATTTCTGATGAAATGCTGCCTTGAAGATATTAAATTATACTAATCTATGTCAATAGATTCATTCTTTAAAATTATTTTGTATTTTCTAAAATTCTGTTAGCTTTAGATACACATGTATATATTGAGATTTTGATATTTATTTTTCAAGCAAAATGTTATGAGGGTTGGGTCAACCTTTATGTAGATAAGTTTTCTTTATTTTAAAATCTGTGTAAGGATTAAGAGCTTCAAATATAAAAGAAAACTTTCACCAGTTAACAAAATAGATATCAGCTGAAAAGCTTTAGTATATTCAACAGATGTATATGAAAAATAGAAAAAAATTTTTAAGACTGTACAATAAGGCTACCCCCTCATACATCACTGTTTCTATTGTCAGAGCTAAACTGAATTGCAGTTCTTCCACTGAGTATGTTTTTGCATTTTGAAATATTAAAGCTCACCAACACCATCTTGAATGTTAAAGATAAGTTTTGGTTTCTTTGGTGTTATGTGAAAAGATCTTCTTTTTTCTTTTTTTTTAACAGTATTTATTTCACAAATATCCCTTACCAGCATTGAAGAAGTGTTGGTTAGTCTCCAATAATAATATTTATCAAGGAGACTCTGCTTCTTAATTTGTAATTTGGTAATGAAAATAAGAATAATAAAAATACTTAATCTCTCAAATTATCAATTGACAATTGGTAAATTGTATGTCTTATCACATGGACTTGATTTTCTTCCCATCAGTTTTGGTTAAACAGGAGGTATTTTCAGTTTTTTTTTTTGTTTTTTGTTGGGTTTTTTTTAGCTCAAGTCATGAGGTTGGCTCCTGTTTTGACTGATAAAGCTAATGCCTTTGCTGGTTCTCTTATTCACCAATCTAATTTTCTATGGCAGAATAACAGTTTCATGTTCTAAAAGATTTATATTACAATAAAACTATTGGTAATTTTGAATCAAGACGACTTTGTTAATAAAATGATGTCTATTTTGGATAATAATGTTATTTTTCTGCTAATCTATAAGTAACGTTCTCATCTCAGCCAATGCTGAAATCTGTTTGCAAGGAAAGCTTTCAAAACAAGTTCTATTATTTAGTCTTTCAAATGTCAGTGCAATGCTGTCTACATAGGCAGGACAACTGAACTTTTGGAGAGGAGAATTTCTCAGCAAGGTCCAGTATTTATCAGGAGAGGTCAACTGAGTGATAATTTGCATAAGTCTGTTGCATCCAGATCTATTGGGTAGCACCTGATAAAAAATCATCAGTGTGTCATGGTGTATTGGAAGAACATGTTCTCCATTTTGTGCAAATTACATTCATTATTTAATCTCAAAGTAGTTGAGTATATATAATATAGTGACTAGAACAAGATATAATGTGTAAAAAAAAAAAAAAAAAATTCTGGGAATATATACCAGATATTTATTTTTCACTAGAAACCAATTACTGTTAGAAAAAATTGAGTAATTTCTGAGCCTAAGGACTGTGAATTTTGTGAACTCAAGGACAACTTAGTCAGAGACAAAATTATATTTGACATCTTAAAGAAAGATAAACACAAATTACTACTTTGTAGTTTTTCCAATATTGATTGTTATGTCCTGGCCATTTTGAATCAGGAAATAATAAAGATATTCAGAAAACCTTTCACCAAAGAAAATATCCATTAGAATGTAATATGGTCACATATCTCTCATGAAAAAATATCAGATCAAATAAATTTGTTACTTGAATGAGAAAAATACTTAAATTTGCTAATGGAAAGTCCATGTCATCTTAATTTGCTTAATGAAATACTTATTTGCTCATGTTTGAAATTAAAACTGTATATTTAGGTGTGCACACAGGCTTCCAGATTTTTTTTTTTATAATCAGTTAATAACTCATACATATGTAATGCCTTTAGGGTCAGTCCTAGTCCACGACAACCAATTGTTGCCCTATACTCTCCCTGGTTGTCCAAGATATCCACGACCATGGCTGATGGATGGAATGATCTCTTTGATCCTGGAGCTACCTTATCCCACATTGTGATTTGGTTTGATCATAAGGAGGCCAAGATCAACTCGTCATAGGTATCTTCATATTGGACTGATACAAGCAGAGCAAAGACGCACAAGAAAACAGGAGAAAATAACACACGAATAATATAAAAATATATATATTATTTTTATATCAAGTACTATGTACAATAGTTTGTTAATTGTTGTTAGGGTCTAGGTGTTAGCATGCAGGCATTTATCGACCCAACCCACTTCCTAAATCAGACGTGACATTTTGTTAAGTTGGCAAGGTTAGTTTTACAGACGTGGTAAAGTTTGTTTAACTGACTTGGTAAGTTTGGCTCAAGGCTGATGTTAAGGGGTCCGTGTTGGGAGATAGTCACATGTGTTCACTCGTGCCCAGTGACTGGAATGAACTCTCGTAAATTAGTATTTCTGTATTAATCACAGAACATTCAGAACTGCTTTACAACTGTGTATTCAGTTTGTAGTTTTTCAATAAAGATGGACGTCCTGGGTATGACAATAAACTACATCCAGCAGCAAGGTCTCCAATCAGGAGATTAGACGCTTTGAGGAGTATGGAACCACCTCTTAACTCATACTGTTCCCAGGTCCACTCTGACTGAAGGTGGTAGCACCTGTTAGGGTCCCAGCTATGGGCAAATAGTGAACCTCAAAACAAAAACCAACAGTACATTTTTATAATAAAATGAGCAACAATACATTTTTATAGCAAAATTACAATTGATTAACACGAATATATATATATATATATATATATATATATATATATATATATATATATATACAGTGACATGCATAAGTATTGGATACATGTTATTTTCTGTTATAACTCTAGTTTATGTTTGCCATTTTGCCTGATATTTGGTAAGTAATATCTCGTAGAGTTGTTTTAGTTGTATGTGGAAGGAAAATTAAAAACTCATGGTTGAATCCATTTTTTTATTAAAGTTCAAAATTACCCTATGCAAAAGTATTGGATACATGACACCTTTTTTCAAATTTCCAATCGAAACTTTGTATTTTAAAAGACTTTAAATATTCAAATTTTCGATAGTATTGGAAGGTTATCTCTGACCAATCAGAGAAGCACACAATTGTTTACAAGATAGTGCTACTAATCATCTGACTCTTTGATGGGCATTCTGCAATTCTAGGATTAAATATGGCAAAAACTAAAGAATTATCCAGAGATATGTGAGATAGAATCATTGAACGTCACAAAGGAGGACAAGGTTACTGAAAAATTAGCAAAGAAATTAATCTAGCACGAAGTACAGTAGGAAATATCATCAGAAAGTATAAAAAGTATGGCGATGGTACAGCAAACCTTCCAAGAAATGGAAGACCAAGAAAAATAAATGAGAGTACTTCAAGGTGGATCAGCAGAAATGTGCAAAAAAAACCCTTCATTACTCGTTCTGAAATTAAAACTGATCTTGAGGGTGCTGAATTAATGTAAGTAAGGATACCATTAGCAGAGCTCTATATCGTACAGGCTTTCATTCAAGATCACCAAGAAAAGTGCCTTTACTGAAAACCAAGCATATCAAAGACTGATTAAAGTTTGTCGAAACTTATGAAAAGAAAGGTATGAAGTTTTGGGAAAAGGTAATCTGGTCGGATGAAACGAAAGTTGAACTATTCAGAAGGAACACAGCGACAAGTGTTTGGCGAAAAAATGGCACTGCCTTCAACAAGCACAATACCATCCCCACAGTTAAGTTTGGGGATGCTTCCATTATGATATGGGGATGCTTTTCATCCAAAGGCACTGGTGAGTTACAAGTTATCCATGGTAGAATGAATGGTAGCATGTACAGGGAGATTCTAGAGAAGAACCTTCAGAAATCTGCAACTTCTTTAGGACATGATCGGAATTTCGTGCTTCAACACGACAATGATCCCAAACATACCGCAAAACTTACAAAGGAATGGTTTGAAAATAATGGTATTAGTACTCTCAGTTTGATAGCATTTAAATAGTAACTCAAATATTTTTCCAATGTTACTTTTTCAAGAATTTGAGGTGCTAAGTGATGCATCATGGGATTTATGACTAACACAATTCTAATAATAAAAATATTAGTCTTCAAATGTTCTCAAAATATTCTTAAATATGTGAACTGGCAAAGTGTAACTTCTGATAAATTTTGGTTAGTTTCCTGAAAATAAAGATTTAATTTATTTTACTACAATAAGTTAAAGATATAATACAAAATTTACTGCTTAATACATCAAATCACATTTTCATATGGATGTTTCTAGGCATTCTTTTCTTGTAAAGTGCTTGAATTTTGATTAGACAGTATATAATTCTTCATTAAATAACTTGTATATACAAACACAACCTGTAAATATTCTCTATTTATGTATTCTGTTAGCAAATATATTTTACTACTGATGTTTTCAAATGAAATTATTTTATCAGTATATTTTTAAGACACATTTAATCAAAATCTTTAAATAACTTTTTCAAAATTCTCATTGCCATTTAAGAAAAGCTCTCTTTAAAAAATGATCGCATCATGTTTTTAATTTATTTTGTTTAAATATCATGTTCTTCCTTGTAAAAAAGATGTTGAATATAAACTTAGATGTTAGATGTAGAGAATGGAAAAATCATTTTTTTCTGACTGTAAAAATTGACAATTTGTTATCTCAGTGAATTTGGCAAGCAACCTTGGATTCTCCAGTTCTCAGACAACCAAGTTGTAATGCGTCGTTCTGAAGGCTCTCTTGTTAGCACAGCCATAACACCTTACCCAGCCATTCTTCATGAGTATGTCTCTGCTGCAAAATGGGAAGATGCTGTCAGGCTTTGCCGGTTTGTAAAGGTGAGTTTGCAAATTTCATAAATAATTTATATACATATTAAATCTCAGTGGGTGTTAACAGGAAATTTTCTTTTAACTTTTAAGAAAACTCATTACTCTTACGAGAATCAACATGAAAAGTCATATTTTATGATATTTTCATAGAAATTTTCTAGAATTTCATGTTTGATGATAATTTTGGTCATCACTTGTTGAAATTAGACACACATAATTCTGTATATGATTAGATACTTAATATTTGTTTAAAAAAATTTAGATGTTGATATTTATACAAAACATATTTTTAGCATTTTTCATTGGTCTAAATTTTGGAATTTAACAATTGGTGCCCAACCTTTTCATTTTACAGCAGATCTTCTTTCAAAACTATGCTTTTTGAATTCTAAATCTTCTCCATTAGGATTTGTTTGAGATAAAGAGTTAAGAATATTTCACTGCAAAGCTCTGATTTGAAGCTCTCTTATCTTTATACACAATATCTTAATACTGTTTCAATCACTTTTTTTATTTTTGATTGCTCATTTTAATTGAGTGTTGCTGCTCAAATGTCCATATGAGGTTATGCTTTCATAAGTTATTTAGTTGGCATCTCTTTGTTTGTTCTTGGCATTCTCACAGAAAAATTCCATTTGCCATAGATTCTTTTTTAAACAACAAATGTTTAAATATGTAAATGAATATTACATAATTAAATATGAAAGTGTAATGATAAAATTAATTCATAATTATAATGATAAAAAATAAAAGATTTTAATTTGTAGTTTGATGCTACTCAATTTCCTGACATCAGAATTTTAAACTTCAAAATTTTAGTTATTAAAAAAAAATCACCATAAAAGTGAAAGGGATATATAATTCTAGTTTCACTCTAATAAATTCAGAATGGCAGCTTCACACCATCTTTCCTGTTTTGTAACAGAAATTATGAAAATCAAATATGATTATCCCAACAGATTTCAGACACTAGTTTTTATTAATTCATAAGAAAATTGTTACTTATTTAGTTGTTTATTCACATGAACACCAAAATTCAAACAATTTATCATTGTTCTGATATCACAAAAGCGTTTTTAATCAACTAATTTATGAAGTTTTAATTACATTACTAATGTTAAATATTTTTAAATATTCTTCTTTGATGAAATACTGTCAAAACTTTTAAAAATTAAGACTTATTAATATTATATTTTTGAATAAGATTGAATGTAATAGAGAAACAATAGATATTTTGCTTAGCATTATCACTATGGCTTTATTCATATTTTACCTGTGTTTATCTTGGAAACATGATAATTGAAAACATCATCTTTATTATATTTTTTTATTCTAAGATATATGGTTATCAGTTATTCTTCAATTTCAATGTTTCCTTCATATGAATATATTGGCTGAAATATCTTCTAAAATATTTTATTGGTTCATGTTCATTTGATCTTAGAAATGCCACATGATTTTTGTTGTTTTGGCATTTTTTCTTGTGTTAAGTTTTATGTAATTCATCATCATTAATTGCAGCAGTATGGGATTTATATAGAATTAATTTCACATTCAATTTTTTGATTTGCTTTTTTTGGATTTACTCTGTCCTTGATAAAATCCTATATATATCTTTGGGTTGGAAAATATATACAATGAAATATGTTTACTTTGCAAGAAAAGGTTTACAGATAGCACATTTGTAACATTTCCATTCTTGTATGAGAGTTTTTGCAAGAATCATGTATATTTGATTGAGCTATTTTAAAGCAAATCAAAATTTCTGCCTGATGTTAATGTCATTTCTCATGTTGTTTTGAGTTAAACAAACTAAAACATTTTGTCTGCAGCATGCATGTGCCTCTGCAACTTGAAACTAAAGCACAATTGCTAATGATTTATACAAATTGTTTTCTAAAAAGTAAAACCTGAGCAAATGAATGAGAACATTTTCAATCTCAGCTACAGGGATAACAACTGAAATCTATGCTCTCATGTTCATTTCCACACATTTATATATGACTCACTGACTAGCATATAGATCCACCTTCGTACATTAATATAGACTTTTATATGCATACAGTGTTGGATGCATTTGGTGAGTTATTAAAGCAATGCACACACAATTCTATCAGCTCCTTTCACCAACTTCTCTGTCAAGAAATAAAATGTATTGCAGTATTGATCTCTATGGCAAGGGATGTAAATTTTTGTATTGTGTTCTGAAATAGCTGGTTGTGTTCACAGACTCCTGTATCAACATTATGGTGAGTCATAGGCAGAAAGTGAGGTGGCAGCAAGGGACTTAAATGAACCACTTCTTTTTGTCTTTCATCACCACCTCAGGCCACTTGATTTTATTTTTGAACTTGCAAGAAACATTCCTTGCAGCATTTCTAACTCCAATTTGCCATATTGAAAATTAAGATTTTGAATAAAAATTTTGAAAGTTAATCTATTATTAATACTAAGTGGTAGAATGCCTTTAAATATTTTTACCATGTTTATTCTTATCCTCCTTTGTTAACTTAAATTAAAAATCTTTTTGTATTGAATATTCAATCCTGCATAAGTTTCATTTAATAAACCTTTACTAACTTTATAAAAAAAGCACTTTTAGTGAATTATATTTTTATATTTGAACTACTTTGACATTATTTTAATTGCTCTTTTAATTATCTGTATTTATATATAAGATTTAGTAAAATTTTAACCATCTAAGATTTTTACCAAAGTAAATTAAATATTTTGTTTAACAATCTTGTAAATTGATATTTATATCTATTTTTTATTGTAAGAGATTTTTCAGTTTAATATGCATGTCTGCTCTATATAATTATGAAACTTTTATCATTGATCAGATCAGTTTTATTTAATGTATACTCAACATTGCTTATATATTAGTTACTAGCCGGGGGGTACCTGGTGTTACCCAGGTGTACATGGCTACAATTGTATAACAGCATCCATGTATACCTGCACCTCCTTGTCTAGAAATGTCTGCCTGCATCTCTGCTTGCAAGCATCATTTGTTGGTATACTAAGCTATTCACCCCCTCATCTTTTTTGTGGTATGTCCTTCACAAATGTTTGATTGTTCTTAATAAAAGGATTCCATCGATATAAACATCTTGTGTGGTCATTGCTTGGGGTTGAATTGTTTCAATGTTTTAGATATTCAGTAAATTTCCTATGACCGTAATAACTTTCAAATAGTTATAGCATTGTTCACAAATCTAATAAACAAAAACAGGGATGAAGTGTCAGAGCTTAATTCAACTGCAAGTGCAAACACATGCAATGTCCCCCCTACTTAGCATGTTTACTGCAAAGCTGGAGTTAATAAGAGGTTCTTTGGGAATTTTTCCCTTTTAACGCTTCAGTAATCTTTCACAAATGATCTTTGCATCAAAGGTTGTTTGAATGCCAGTTTAGGATGGAATCATATGAAGAAACTATTGGCTAAATGGCAAAAGCCAATTTTGGACCTAGTTTGTCACAGATTTTGTCCACTTAAGTAAAATAATCTAAACCAAACATTCATGCAAGACAATTTATGTGTCATATGTAATTTACATAGCAAATTTGGAAAGCATTGGATGAAAAAGCAGGGAGTTATGGTCAAAAAACTGGTTGTTTGAACAGTTTTTTATAGTTTTTCATTATATATGGGGAAGTGGGCAGGACTAAAACCACACTATCTTATTTCTTGCATGATGGCAATTTTTTGTGACATATTTGAAGAAAATCGGATAAAAATGAGGAAGTTATTCTAGTTTTTATTTTAAGTAGTATGAAAAACCCGATTTCACAGTTTTTTGCAATTTTTTGTGTGAAGCCAATGTCACAGGGAAACTATCAAGCACTCTACATAAACCTTGTAAAATGAGCTGATGTTTTGCATTAAGTGCAAAAAACATCAGCTCATCCAGTAAAAATTTTTTTTACATGTAACTTTGCCTTGGTTTTTGTAAAAAGTTGTTCCCACCTTTAGTCTTATCAATTTTTCTGCCAAACCTGGAGGTGCTGGAGATTGAAAAGTTGATCTTGACCTAATTTAGTAAATTTGCAACATGTATGTACAATTTCATTGAAATCAGTCAAGAAATGTGGACATGCATAAATAGCACACAGACACCCATCTTCTGTTTTATAGATATATAGAAGATTACCAGTTACCATCCAGTCAGTGATCTAAGTTATATGCATCAATTTAATTATTTTCAAATCTCTATAAACTCTAACAAGTATCATTAATATGATGTTAAAATAGCTGCTTAAATTTACTTGCTCTCTTATATATTTTTAGAATATATCATGCTTTTATAGATAGAATTTTTTTATATAATGTGTGTGTAGCTTTTCTAAATGTAAAAAGTATATGTTAATCTGAATCTAATATTATTTCTAATAGAAAATCTGTTATTAAAAGTATAACTTGTGAATCTGAAGGACTTTAAATATCACTTGTCATATGAGTCTGGTGTTTATAGTAATTAGCTAAATGGAATTTAAGTTGTTTATATTGATTTAAATAGTTAATGCCCTTAAAAGTACATAATGTATTTGTAGTGACACTGGCAAATTAATATGCCTAATTTGCATAAGTGCAAGAGAAAGCCTATATAACTCATCACTGAGAATAACATGGGATGAAGACAAGCTTAGCGACTGACTAGTGCTAAACTTCAACTTCACATCAATGGTGTCGCCGATAGGATCGCATTTGTCTCTAGAAGATTCAGATTTCGTGGATGCATGGATTCGCTGTTTTTCTGCCAGTGCAAGAATTAAAAAGCTGAAAGACAACAAGGAGAAGGGAGGCGAAAATGAAATTACGGATTTATTTTTGGCTACAGCTGGATGCAAGGCAATAATGAAAGTCTCCTCCATGGCATATCCCACAAACTTGGAAAACCTGACTTTTGAAAAAATAAGTCAGATTATAAGGTTAAATATGAGACCCAAGAAAAGGCTGGTAGTGGCAGAAAGAATGAAATTCATGTCGCTGAAACAAGAAATTG